AAGTTGTCCTCCGTCGTCCACAGGTCCATACAGCTGGGCATGAACCAGTTGAAGAAGGTGCCGAAGCTGTACTCGATGCCGGTGACGGCTGCCGGAAGAGTTGGAAGCGTTTCGACTTCGGCTTCAGCAGCTTCAGATTCAGCCGTCTTCTTCTTCGGATCATCCCCAGCGACATCCTTAGCCTGATCTTCTTCTGGCACAGAGATCTCCTCCTCCTCCGTTTCCATTGTATCTTCTTCTTCTTGAGATGGTGTTCCAGCAACAAAAAGATCGGCTTTTTGAGACGAGAATCTTCTGGAGCCGATCAAGAAGCCACGGCAAGGAGCAAACTGATGCAACAGCAGCAGCAGCAAGCACGTTTTCGCCGCGAAAATCAAAACAATCAAAATGCTGTCAGGTATCGATACCGAGGCAAACGATAGCCAATCTACAGAATCATTCATCACTTTTTCTTTTCCCATCCGATCTCAAAATGCTTTGGATTTAATTTGGACCGCTTTCATTTGATTTCAAAATAACAAAGCTATCTGACCGGAACTAAAGAAAGATGGGGATGGATGAGGGGACAGGGATGATGACAGTGAAGTATTGAGTAGGAAAGCGTTATGAAGGTACTTAATAATTGCGAATAACAGAAGCCAAAGGCGACGAAACAAAAGAAGGTATGAAGATTTGTGTACAGTGTCTAGCTCTCATGCAAATAATAAAACTCCGACTTTTCTTTAGAACCGATTCCGGCCGGAAAATTCTCTGAAGGAGGACGAGGAAGAGGATGATGGCCCACTGGGCTCACCATCGTAGTCATCATCATCGCCGTCGCGGTCGCCATCGGCCAGGGAGAACTTGGGCAGCGTCGTCGCCGTCTTCTTCACCTTCTCCATCTTCATCTGGTACTCGGTCATCGGCTTGCCGCCGACACCTGAGAAAAGTAGAACAACAAGGTCGTTATCATTTCGATTCGAAAAAGATCCCTCTCAAAACAGAGCACTTACCACAGGTGCCCACGCCGACCCTGCCCGTCACCGACTCGGGCGTCGCAAAGATGCTCTTCTTCTTGAGGGCGGAAAAGCTGCTCGAACTACTACTCTTTCCCGAGCCCTTCTTTCCGCCGCCGCCGCCGATTACCTTGGAGGCAAAGGACTGCCACTTGGCCTTGTCCTTCTCCCGTTCCTCTTCAAGAGCTTTTAGCTTCTCCTTGCGCTTCTGCTGCTTCCGTTTCTGCGCTTCGCGAACCTCTTGCGCCACCTTGAAGTTCTTCATCGAGTTCATTCCTCCTCCTCCCTCACCGTCGTCTTTTGATNCTGGTACTCGGTCATCGGCTTGCCGCCGACACCTGAGAAAAGTAGAACAAGAAGGTCGTTATCATTTCGATTCGAAAAAGATCTCTTCCAAAGTACTTACCACAGGTGCCCACGCCGACGCGGCCCGTCACCGACTCGGGCGTCGCAAAGATGCTCTTCTTCTTGAGGGCGGAGAAGCTGCTCGAACTGCTACTCTTTCCCGAGCCCTTCTTCCCGCCGCCGCCGATCACTTTGGAGGCGAAGGACTGCCACTTGGCCTTGTCCTTCTCCCGTTCCTCTTCAAGAGCTTTTAGCTTTTCCTTGCGCTTCTGCTGCTTCCGTTTCTGCGCCTCGCGAACCTCTTGCGCCACCTTGAAGTTCTTCATCGAGTTCATGCCTCCTCCTCCCTCCCCGTCGTCTTTTGATGTTGAAGAGCCGCCACCACCACCGCCGCCATATCTTCGATTCTTCCCGGCCACCGGTTTCAGCAGCGAGACGAGGCAGACCTCGGCGAGGCGCCGCTTCTGATTGCTGAACACCACCGTACACTGCCCGTCAGAGGTGATGTCCTCGATTTGGGCTTCGTAGAACCTAGAATTAAGACGTTGAATTAAGTCTTCAAAATAGAAATTCTCAGGTACTCACTGTCCGTCTTCGCTCCAGGGCGCCAGGACGTAGTCCCCGGCCTTGTAGTTGTGATTTGAAGCGGAGGACCCTGCAACTAAATGAGAGTTGAAGGTGCTGTTCTTCAGCATCGCCAGCTCGTCCGGCTCCATCACGCTCATCGTCAGGGCGATTACCTCCTGAAAAAGAAGGTGATGGTGAAGATTAGAAGAATGGTAAAGATGGAGAAGAAGAAGAACAAACCTCGAGGTCCTTCTTCAGGATCTTCATCTCCTCGTTGTCCGGCTCAGCGGCCAGCGCCGTCTCCACCTGCTGCAGCTGAATCTGGTAGTTGCGCACATTGGCGATGTTGTCGGCGGAGGACATGCTTCTTCTTCAGATAATTTTTTTGATGATACTCTCTTCAAGAAATGAAGAGTTTTTGATGATTTTGTCTCGAAACTCAGCTCAAGAAAGCTCAACAAAACTTGGCCAGAAAAAAATCCTCAGCAGAGCAAAATAAACACAGCGGCGGTCACCCGCAGAGGACGTGCTTCCAAAAAATTCGAAATGCGCAAAAACATTTTGCAACTGAACAAACTCAAACTCAAAATATCCCAAAAGTTTTAGGAAAAAATAAAATGGTCTTTATTGACTTTGTACACACAGAAGTGGAGAAAGGAAGGGAAGGAAAGAAATTCAAAGAAAAATAAAAATAAGATAGGTGTTTGTGTGTTTGTACAGCAAGAAAAAAAGAGGGAAAAAACTTTGTACAAAAAATCATAGAATGGATGAAAGGATGAAAATGTGGGGTGGGGCAATAAAAAGGGGGACAATCGTAATAGTAGAATAATAAATTAGGAAAAGTCGATGAAGAGGAAAAAGATAAGTTCAAGAAAAAGGGCAAAGTCAATCTTGAGCTGGACAAAAAGTTCATCAACATCATCATCATCAACAACAAAGAAAAGGAAACGCCCATCCAGGAGGATATGTCGAAAGGAGAAGAGAAAAGAGAAGAAATAG